GGCAAGGTTGAGCGTGGGCAGGGGGTAATTACCCTAAAATTTCAGCTTCCTAGACTCCGTGGTTCCCGAGATGATTTACCCGTAAAGACTTTCACTAGTCCGTAAGTGATACCCGAGAGCGCGGGAACGCTGAATATATATTTGCAAGATCGTTCGTGGGCAAGGAATCGCAATTCTAAAATTTCAGCTTCCTAGACTCCGTGGTTCCCGAGATAATAATTTACCCCTCAAAAATTTTCACAAGGCCGTACATGTTATCCGCGGGCAGTGGAAAGCTGAATTTAAATTTTCTGGGCAGCACATGGGCGGGGAGCATGCTTACGAAATTTCAGCCTTCTATCTTCGTGGTTCCCGAGATGAAAGTGCGAGACAAAATGTAGAACACACACACATAAACACACAGACAACCCCGTGAAAATATGCATTTTGTACTGCTGTTACACAGCACAAAACGCATAAAAACTGGAAAACATCATAAAAAGGTAGATAAATACCACTCTTTAAAAAATCACAAATAAAGAAAAAATTTACCGATCCGAACTGGAAAACCGGGTGGAAGCCGTACTTCGCAAAAACGTCGAAGTTTATCCAGATGTTTAAATGGCGCAACAATTTCAAGAATATCCAATAGTACGTCAACATCGATTGGAAAATCTTCTGCCTACAAACAGACACATTGAAACAGATCTGTCAAGAGCAACAAATGATGATATTTTCGAAACCAGTAAGTTCATTCATACCTTTTACAGCCCATAAAGGGACTCTTCGAAAGCCCACCCCCTCCCTCTCTTCCTACTCCCCCTCGCTCCTCCCTACTATCGCGACCCTAACTGTTAGCTTATTAGGCTAGTGTGTGCCCCGGTTGTAGGAGTGTTATGTGTGTGTGTGTACGACGTCGCGTCCTATATACATATTTATTTATACATAATAAGTTAAAGCGATAATGCATACAGAGGTGGTGAGGCTCTGAGGAGCAGAAGTTCCCCAGAATAGGAGTATAAGTTAAATGAAAATAGGTCGCAGTGATGGATGGGTAGTGGCAATCCCGGCGATGAGGAGATGTGCTTTTATACTCCAGGGGACGAAGATCGAAAGTTCAATGAGGGTAGGGTGGCCAAAGTTTGAACCAGGGACAGGGGTATTGCGTCACTGTAACGCAGTTGTTCTTTAACCTACTTTTAACAAAAAAAAGCATTAATCATTATTTGATCTATTATACGACATCTTTACAAACGGAAGATTGGACCGTCCTCGGTCCAAAGAACAAAAAAAAAGCATTAATCATTATTTGATTTATTATACGACACTACTTTTCACAGTACTGGAAAAAAAATCCAAGACATGCAAATTCCAGCCACTTTGCCCACTTTCACTGCTACAGGAAAGCATTTGCGGAGCGGACACAAATATTTACCATGGCAATAAGAGCCTTGAAATTCTTTGTACTTTGCTTAACAATCTGTGCACGTCCCAACGGTGGAGCAAGACCGGGAGCAGCACTGATATACTCTTCCCAGGTTGTTGCCATCCGCCCAGGTGGTGGCAAACTTTTTCGATGTTGCAAACTCTGAAAAAATTTAAAAATTTATTATAACAATTTTATCAAAATAATTCCATTAATTTTACTAATTTCTTAATTTCTTCGATTCTCCTTCTTATTTCAATATACCTTTCTATCTACAGCATTTTTTCGATTCCGAATTTCTTAGTATACAGCTATCCTTCACATCATTCTCAAATTCCCAATCTGTCGAATTGTACACAAGGCTAACTTTTTAGCCGTTTCCTAAAATTCTATGGTCTTCAGTTACAAAATATTTCAATTCATCAACTAATCGTCTCTCTGCGGAAAAAGAAAGTAACAAAAGCTACACATTAAATGGTTTCTCTTTTGCAAATCTGGCAAAGACTTCAAGATGGAACGATGGGAAGCACAGGCAGACCCAGAGAAGGAGGGGTCTTCGTCTTTACCCACCCTCCCCCCCCCTCCCCCCGTTCCCTAGCGGTACCTGCATCAGTGCTGCAAAAGTCCGGGCCCAAAGCTAAAGTAAACTAAAACCTGAAGTAACTCTAAACCAAAACAACTCTAAGCAGCGGTGCTGCAACTCAATCTCAAATTTTTGCATTGTTCCAAGGTTTCCTCCCACTCCACTCCCTCCTCTTCCCTTTCCCTCCAACCCCCCC